CCTATGTGGGGTGCCATGACACAGTTTGGGAACCACTGAACTTGTTAAAGAAAAGTGTTAAATATGGAGTAGACCAGACTGGGGATTGGGGAACACAGAGCATTTGTTAGAAATATCTTGTGACTTCCAAACTCCAGAAATGGTTTCATTGAACAGAGGACCCAGAGCATCATCCTGCCGCTCCACTATTTCAAATGGCTTAAACTTGTCATCATATCCATTCTTTGAAGCCCCATCTTTGTTCCTATACAGAAGCCCGGAGATAACCCTGAAACCATAACCAACCTTATTGGTTTCAGTGGGGAGCCCATCGTTAAACACTGCAGCCTGTTCCAGACTCTTTCTGTTTAAATGACTGCTCAGTTTAGCAATTAGCCATTCTTGGCACTTCCTTTTCCTTTGTTTCCATTCTTTTGAAAAGCAGTTCAATACTGGCAGGCGGTGTAGGTGTTTGGTTACACAGTTAGAAAGCACCAGCACTCTAGGGGAGACTCTTGTTACATTTTAACAAGCAATGACCTTAGGAGTGGGCGGCAGATGATGGAGGACTTAAAAGGAAAAGCATCTCTTTAATGAAGCTGACAAGGGAACGGAACCAGGCTGTTCTGGAGTACACAAACACCCAGCACACAAATCAGTACACCGCAATTGACATGTGTCTTAATTAATTGACTTAATTACATAAGTTGGCTTTAAAAAAAAAGAGTTCTCCAAGTAAAACAAAGCCACTTCAGGATTATAAATAAGGGCGAGGGAAAGAAAAGGAACACTGCCAAGAATAAGAACAGCAGTGGCAGCAACAACAAAAAACTAACAAGAACTAACAGCAAGTTTAGGCTTGAAATTATTGGGCCACTTTCAATGCACATTGTTCAAGCCGTTCTTCTGAGCAGGGAGGGCTGTTAACACAGCCTTCCTGGAAAGATCGTTCCAATTTCCATTTGTATGGAAATGCTCTAGATTTGTAATAATTGCTGGGTCACATATTCAATGATAACATGTAAACAAGCAAGCAAATAAATAATGGGGGAGAGTGATTATTGCATCATTGTCCTTGCAGCCACTGCTGCAGCCTAAAATCTACTGCGTACGTAGCATGATCTAATTTAATGAACAGCACAATCCTGTAATGTCTACTCAGAAGCAAGCAACAGTATATTCAGTAGGATTTGCATGATCCTGTAATGTCTACTCAGAAGCAAGCAACAGTATATTCAGTAGGATTTATTTCAAGTGATTTAGGTACAATTGCGGTCTTCAATCCTGTATACCCTGACCTTGCAGGTAGCGCCACTGAGCCCAATGGGAATTAATCTTCAACAGATACTATAGGTGTTTGTTGCAAATCTGCTGCATTGCATTTTAGCACTGTACCAAGCTTCGTATCTTGGACTCCATGATTTCCAGCTCCCCACTCCTATTAATTCTGTTTCAATAATTAGCCTAAAGGAGAGTTGCAGAGAAATTTTACTCATACCAATCTGTGGGCATTGCCGTTAATTCGTTCAGTTGATTTAGATAATTAAAACATTGAGCAACTGTGACTTCTGCATTTTTTTCTAATGGGCTGATATATATTTTGCATAGTTGATAATGATCTCCAGAGAACTTTGAATAGCAACCAATTTGGCAGAGGAATCAGAGATTTGCCCCCACCCCACCCCTTTACTACTTGACTATAGATACCAAGTTAGAATTCTTAAAGAAGAAAAGGAGAGCTAGTGGGGTGTGCCTTTCCCAATTCAGCAGTATTCTGATAGCATCCTTTCAGATGGGATGCATAAGTGGCTGCCAGTAGAGATATTTGTACTCTGAAAGTTTTAATTTAAAATCTCATTTAAAAGCCAACAATAGAGAAAGTGCACAGAGGAATACTAATGGCGGCAAAAGTCCTGTGCTGTAACTATCTCAATTTTTTTTTAAAAAAAACAATATAACAGCTCAAAAGACAGCGTAAAGACAACACTGGACATTTGCTAGTGGCCAAGCTGGCTGGAGAATTCTGGGACTTAACTGTCCATGAAAATAATTTTCCTGAGCTATGTTATTTGTAGCAGGTGCTTACTAGTTGCCTTTCTTACAAAATAGGCCATGCTGGCTGAGGGGTTCAGTGCAGGGGAGGGCAGGTTTGAAAAGGGATGTTTCTGAGCTCTGTCATATACAAATGTGAGCCGCTGAATATTCACAAATTATAGCCCAGCTCTGAGCAAACATACTCTTACTATCCCCATGAGTAGTAGGAGGTGAGAGCTTGGGCAGCAGAGAACTCTCTTCTGGAACTTACTCCTCCAAAAGCTCCTTATTTATAGCACCCATCCAGGTTTTCTTGTACAGGTTTCCTTGTGATATCTAGTTCAATCCAGTGTTGGCTTGAGTGACAATATATGTGCTCCAATATGAATATTTTGATTCATCACTTTGGAAAAATGCATACTTTGTTTCTTAATCCTCTCAAGCCAGTTGAACGTTGATCTGGAACATGAGTTGAAATTTGGAAATCAGAAGATTTATGCCTCCCATTGGTTAGTGCTGGAAATGCAATAATTGCAATAATTTTTTCTCTGTGTTTCTATTAGATGATATTAGCAGGCCTAATAACCCCTTAAGGAGGGGATTATAACTGCCACATTGCAGGAAAAAAAAGGCGCAGAAAATTGATTTTTGAAAAAGTGAGCTGTCAGTAACTTTTTAATTTCTTGGTAGAATTGGATGGAATTTGCAGAAATATTTGCCTTTTCTGAGGTAGCAAAGCTGAAGTATTTCAGAAGAATAAGATCAGGGATTTTTGTGCAAGAACAGCCTTTCCTTGTGGGTAGCATCCAAAACACGAGGTCTTTATTTCCCTGAGTTTTTAGTGTACCTGTGATCAACCCTAACCTGTCTAAGCACCTTTAAACTGCCTTTACTTTCTATGGGCTTGCCTTAAGCCCAAATCATAAGAGCTCAAATGGTTTTCAAATTTTAAACATAAAAATAAGATCTTTATTGAACTATAACAGTTGATTATCTGCACAGAATTTAGGTGAAGGCTACATTAATCATACATGCCAACATTCCTACAACAGACCTTACTCTTAAAGCATATCTCTTTCTAAAATTCAACCTCCATCCTTGGGAAACAAAATAGCTCTCTCTTCACTCCCTCCTTCCTTTGGAGAAACAAGTTAACCCCTTCCTCCTCCTCCTCCTCCTCCTCCTTCTTCTTCACAATTGGTTGTCCTCCTGCCTTTTCTCACCCAATAAGCTCATTCCTGATATTGCCAGGTAGATTTGGAGAGGGTTCTGTCCCAGTACCCTTGTTCTGAAATGACAGATAGCAGAGTTATGGCCAGATGTAACAAACATGCAATGTTTTAGAAGGATATTCAGTGGTTCATATGGAAAGGGAGTCCTAAAATATATTAAGGAACCATATAGTGCTACGAAGACCACATACTTAAGTGGCCTTGGGGCAAATTAAAATGAATCTCTTGGCCTGTTTATTTTGGCTGTTGATTATGGGAGGTAAATATAACTTTTGTGTTTGTAAGTGGCATGCCTATGTTGCTAGAGCCTGGAAAACAACAAGAGGGAATGATATGTGAACACAAGAAGTTGCCTTGCCTTACGTCAGATCATCCATCGGTGCATTGTATCAGTAATGGCAACTGACTGTGGACAGCTTTCCAAGGTGTCAGGCAAAGATCTTGATGGGGCCGTAGGTTATGTCGTGTTTAAGAGCCTCAATTGGAAATGAAACCTTTTGCATCAATTTGTATTGTGATGCCCTAAATTGTAACTTCTTTAGCTTGCGAATATATTCAACCTAACTCTTATCATTTGTGATGAAGTGATGTAATCCATGAAAACTTATGCTAAATAAAACTTTTGAGTTTGTAAAGTGCCACAGGACTATTTGCTGTATTTACCTGATTACCAAAGTGAGGATTCCAGGGTTCTACAAACTCACTGAGCTTTAATCATTTCCCCAAATTCACCTCCATGTCCTGCTTGTCAACTTCCTAAAAGGAAGGAACTTACATTTTAAAAAAAAAAGCAGATAAGCTTCTTTTGAATCGGATACAAACATTCTAATTGTGTAGGTTTCTGTATGGCAAATGGTGGCTGTGTTCCATTTCTTCCTAGATGCCTCTTCAATGATTATTGATTCACTGTCTTGCTTGTATGTAACACTTTGTCTTTTTAGCAATCCTGGCAGGCTGTCGGGTCATCTGATCTGTGTAGGCAGAACTTCTTTTGCTATTCATTAGCCACATTCCATTCCCCCATAGATAACATGTTAATGATCCTTCAGTTTAGGAGTCAGACAATAATAGTCACTGCCTGGTGGGAAGAGTTGTAGTTTTAGTATTCACTATTTTGATCTGTTGTAATTACAACTTGTAAACACTACTTTCCAGAATTCTGGGGATTATCATTTGAAACAGAAACTTTTCAAAGCCTCGGCTTTACTGCATCAAGATATAGGACACCGAGTAAGCCATGACCACCTCATCTCCTCCCACCCTTTCCCTTCTTGTTCCCCTTGTACCAGACAGTAGACATCACAATGGCTGCACCAACTTTGATTGTGTCAGCTCTAAATGTTGCTGTATTTTATGCAGACCAGTCTCCAAAGGGTTTCAGCCACTAAATCCCTCTGTTTACCCTTCTTTCCCCATTTCTTTCACTTTGAATGATCAGCTGTAACAATCTTTAATGTTCTGTTTCTCAACAAAAAAAATCACCACGAACCTGATAATTCAATAGATTGAGCAAAAGGGAGCACTCTTAATTTTCATATTTTTTATTTCATTTTTCTTTGTTTCTGGGCAAGATATGACATACAGCTACATTTCCATCTCCCAATGACTTGTAATGACAAGTTCGTCATATGCGAGTAATTGATTCTGTCAACACAGGTGAGTTTTAGAGAATAGTTTTCATAAGCACTAATCATTCACTGAACCGATAACATATAGATGACTTAATCCATATCTTGACCTTCATGGTGACACTTGTCTTTCACATTCTTGCTTATTCAGCTCACATATTTACCTACAGTCTTAACAATCAGGCAGAAAAGTTGATTGTGTGGAAAGGCTGTCAAAGGAAGAGAACCACCACATTGATTCCTTTGATCCTGATGATAATGAAAAGAATATAGAGGGACAATTGTTGATGTCTATGCGGCCAGATATGTCTTTATCAGAATCAATTTAAACAGTGTAATTAAATCAGTGTAACTAAACTAATAATGGCAACATTTGGAAGTTATCTTTGAGCAAGATGGCTTGTGGGTATTGTTGAATACCTGTGCTTCAAATTTCACCATCACACAACTGATTTGTTTTTGATAATTCATAGGTATTTGTGCCGTGTAGATAGTACAGACTAGAGAAATGCCTTTAAAAAAATTTACAGTTCCCAAAACCTCAGAGCCTTCTCCAGTCTCTGGCAAATAAGTATGTTCCCTCTCTGAGTAGAGGTTCTGTTGTTGCCACATCCCTTTCCCCAAATACACTAAGAAAATAAGAATACTGTACTTTCCTCCCACCCTTGCCTGAGGCACATTTTCTTCCAGCTGTTGTATTTTCAATGAGGAATGCACTTGTGCCAGTCAAGTGCTCTTACTGCATATTCCCTTTGATGTTTATCAGCTTCTATACCCCACGCTTTCACCACTCTATGAACTTCCTTGTTAAAAAAAAGGGTAGGGACTCTTAAGTTTGGAACTTTTGCCAATGGTATATATTCTCTTGTGTTGAAGATGACATTATTTTTTAATCATGTGTTCTTAGACTGTGTATTAATGTTTTAATTATAATTATGAATTTTATCTGCTTTTTTATTGTTACCAGCCTCGGGCACTATTTTTAGTAGAACGGTGGGATACTGAATGGATCAGTCAAAACTTCTCCTACTCTTTGGGTTACTAAATTTTGAGCCTTTAAACTCAGTGGTTTAGGTATGTGGCAGTGGAGCCAGAGATAGAAAAGGTGGTCAGGCACTCCCATTTCTTTAAGAACTTGCCACACAGTACACACAGTGAAAGGCTTCTGTGTAGTCAATGATGCAGAAGTAGATGTTTTTCTGGAACTCTCTGGCTTTCTCCATAATCCAGCGCATGTTAGCAATTTGGTCTCTAGTTCCTCTGCCCCTTCGAAATACAGCTAGCAGGCAAAATGAATGCAATTGTACGGTAGTTGGAGCATTATTTGGCACTGCCCTTCTTTTGGATTGGGATGTAGACTGATCTTTTCCAATCCTCTGGCCACTGCTGAGTTTTCCAAACTCATTGGCATATTGAGTGTAGCACCTTAACAGTGTCATCTTTTAAGATTTTAAATAGTTCCACTGGAATGCATTCACCTCTACTAACTTTGTTGTTAGCCATGCTTTCTAAGGTCCACTTGACTTCACTCTCCAGGATGTCTAGCTCAAGGTCAACAACCACATTATCTGGGTTGTCTGGCACAACCAGATCTTTCTGGTATAATTCCTTTGTGTATTCTTGCCACCTCTTCTTGATGTCTTCTGCTTCTGTGAGGTCCCTGCCATTTTTTCCTTTATCATGTCCATCTTTGCACAAAAGGTTCCTTTAATATCTCCAATTTTCTTGAACAGATCTCTGGTTTTTCCCTTATTATTTTCCTCTGTTTCTTTGCACTGTTCATTTAAGAAGGCCCTCTTGTCTCTCCTTGCTATTCTTTGGAAGTCTGCATTCCATTTTCTGTAACTTTCCCTATCTCCCTTGCATTTTGTCTCCCTTCTCTTCTCAGCTATTTGTAAGGCCTCGTTGGACAGCCACTTTGCTTTCTTGCATTTCCTTTTCTTTGGGATGGTTTTTCTTGCTGCCTCCTGTACAATGTTACCAGTCTCCATCCATAGTTCTTCAGGTACTCTGTCCACCAAATCTAGTTCCTTAAATCTGTTCTTCACTTCCACTGTGTACTCATAAGGGATTTGGTTTAGATTATACCTGACTAGCCCAGTGGTTTTTCCTACTTTCTTCAGTTTAAGCTTGAGTTTTGCTATAAGAAGCTGATGGTCAGAGCCACAATCAGCTCCAGGTCTTGTTTTTGCTGACTGTATAGGGCTTCTCCATCTTTGGCTGCAGAGAATATAATCAATCTGATTTCAGTATTGCCCAAGTCACCTCTTGTGTTGTTGGAAAATAGTGTTTGTGATGACCAGCTTGTTTTCTTGACAAAACTCTATTAGCCTTTGCCTGTTTTCTTGACAAAACTCTATTAGCCTTTGCCTGTTTTCTTGACAAAACTCTATTAGCCTTTGCCTGTTTTCTTGACAAAACTCTATTAGCCTTTGCCTGTTTTCTTGACAAAACTCTATTAGCCTTTGCCTGTTTTCTTGACAAAACTCTATTAGCCTTTGCCTGTTTTCTTGACAAAACTCTATTAGCCTTTGCCTGTTTTCTTGACAAAACTCTATTAGCCTTTGCCCTGCTTCATTTTGAAAGGTCTGCTTTGGATTCGTATTGAAATCATTTTATCATTTTTGAGATTGTATCCCAGTACAGCTTTTCCCACTCTTTTGTTGACTATGAGGGCTGCTCCATTTCTTTTATGGGATTCTTACCCACAGTAACAAATATGATAATCATATGAATTGAATTCACCCATTCCTGACAATTTTAGTTCACTGACGCCCAGGATGTTTATTCTTGCCATCTCCTGTTTGACCATATCCAGCTTACCAAGGTTCGTAGATCTTACATTCCAGGTTCCTATGCAGTCTTTTTCTTTGCAGCATCGGACTTTCCTTTCACTTCCAGGGGTGTCCACAGCTGAGCGTCCTTTCGGCTTTGGTCCAACCACTTCAGTAGCTCTGGAGCTACTTGTCCTTGTCCTCCATTCTTCCTCAGTAACATTTTGTTTAGCCTTTTGTTTTTGTCCATGGAATTTTCTTGGCAAAGTACTGGAGTGGCTTGCCAGTTCCTGCTCCAGGTGGATCACATTTAGTCAGAACTCTCCACTATGACCTGTCCATCTTGGGTGTCCCTGCACAGCATAGCCTATAGCATCTCTGAATTACTCAAGCCCCCTCACCATGACAAGGCAGCAATCCGTGAAGGGGAGTTCTGAAATATGGTAGCCCAACCCAGCTTTTAAAAAAAATTATTGACATGAGGGTTTTTTGTTGTTTAGTCGTTAAGTTGTGTCTGACTCCTCATGACCCCATGGACCAGAGCATGCCAGGCCCTCCTGTCTTCCACTGCCCCCCAGAGTTTGGTCAAATTATGCTGGTAGCTTCGATGACACTGTTCAGCCATCTCGTCCTCTGTCGTCCTCTTCTCCTCTCTCCTCCTCATCTTCTGTTGTCCCCTTCTCCTCTCTCCTAACATGAGGATTAGTAAGATGTTAAACGGCAGTGATGACAAAGAATCCCCCCAAAATATTCCTCTTTTGATGCTAACTTCCCCAATTTCTTCATTGTGGGCCATTTGGATATTTTTCTATTTTTCCATGTTTTTGAGGAACTTCTGAATATTTTTACTAATTGAAAACTCATCATCATCATCATCATCATCATCTTTATGTCTATTTGTAATTCACTTAGAGAAAAAGGTAGCTGTAGCCTGTTTTCAAAAGTATGGAGCCACAAGACATATCTGAATATTTTTACTAATTGAAAACTCATTATCATCATCATCATCTTAATGTCTATTTGTAAGTCACTGAGAGAAAAAGGTAGCTGTAGCCTGCTTTCAAAAGCCACAAGACATTGAGAGACCAACTTACTGTAGATGACTGACATATTTTAACATATAATTCTGATGAAACCTTTTATAAAATAAAATCCATTTCCTTCTTCCACCTTTCAATGTGAGCAAAGACAGAGACTATCAAAATGGACAAGATCAAAGCACAGCTGGGGCGTTCCCTGTTTCTTTTCCTGTCATGGAAAAGGAAGAGATTGCCATAAGGTGGCATTGTTCGTGTCAGCAGGTGTATTCTAGCTAGAAATACAGTATGGAAAAAAGGAAAAGGCTAAAGCTAGGTCCATTACCTTGGCCGTCAGAAACACTGTGATGACTCTTGCAAGTATGAGGGGGCTTACTACTCTGCAGTCCCTCATTAAAAGGCAAGTGTGAGGACTAATTGTCAGGCTTATGATCTCAGGAAGCACTGATAACCACTAATAGAATGCTTCCAACTACCAATTAATAACTATTAACAATTACATATATAGCTCAGAATAAGACAGATGGATCTGGTTCCTGGAGAACTGTGCTAAAAATTCACCACATGATAAAATTCCTATTTTTAAACAGCCATCAGTCTGCTGTCCACACACATCCTGAAAAAAGGTCTGGCAGCTATAATGTGCTTGGGAAAAGTAAGCTTTTTTGGGGTGGAGGAAAATCAGTTTAAAAACACACACACCTAATTTAACCTGCAAAACTTGTTACTCTTTGTTGCTATTGTTACACGGAGCAATAATGGGCTTTCAAAATGGTGGAAGCATTTACCATGAATGCAACATATTTTTCCCCTCGTCCCAGGGTAATCCATGCCCTTTCTTCCATTCGTTCTAGCAATTCTCCATCCAGCCTAACAATTCTTATCAAGAAAAAACATAACTTTGACAATAAACGGTTGTGGTAATACAAAAAAAAGGAAAGGAGCAAATTGACAGGACACAAATACTTTTTCATTCTCTTTAAAAAACAAACAAAAACAAACCAAGATTCAATGAACTATCCAATCAGAGCTGCAGCAAAGTGTTGCATCAAGTGTGAAGTGTTACCTACTCACCCACAGTCACTGCCAGTGTCTCCTGTACTTGCGTCTCACCTGGGGAAAGGACAGCACTCAAGATTTACAGAATCTGTCTCCATGCCACAGACATCATGTTGACATTGACAGCCCATTCACCCTGAATTCTCTGTGCACCCTGTTCTACAATCCTACAGACAATGGACGAGCACAACACATGAAGACTGCCAACCACCCAGTTTCTTTCTAGTACTACTTCCATCATACCAGCAAGACCTACTCATTTTTCAGAACTTGAAAAAAATGGGGGGGGGGGAAGGAGCTATTGTTCTCAGAATGCCCCCAGTCAGAATGGCCATAGACTATTTCACCTGGCCAGATTCTGGGAGTTATGGCTTAAAAAACTAGCGCTTCCAAACTCTGCTCCAAGATCTCTTGCAGTGACCTTGTAAATATCCGAAGGACAAAACCCAAAGCAAAGCTGAGTAAGAACAGACAAAGCAATTTTGTTTATGTGGCCATGGTAACGATGGGTAATTCAGGCAGGCAAATTTATCCTGAAATTAACATGACTTTGTGCTTCTTGGTGCCTTGAAACATCTTGCCAATATGAGCCCTTTTCTGTATTCTTCTGATGGCACAGACGGGTTATTTCTGCCATGGCACCATCAATTACTGCGATGTTGCCTGTGTCTACCTTTGATAGCCTCAGCATGCGATTCAAATGAAACTCAAGATAGAGGGTCCTTTTATCTTCCTCATCAAAAGGTATTTTGGTATAGATTTTTGACACACTTTTGATTGTACTGGGGATTATGTAGCAACACGTTGAAATCTTAAAGGAAGAAGAAGAAACATGTTTGTTTTTCATGGGGGCATAACAAAAGAAAGCACCTCACTGTTAAAGTCTCCTGCTGGTGGGATTCCCAGAAGCATCTTTTTGGCCAACTACAGTGGGAGACAGGAAGCTGAACCAGATGGGCCTTCAGCCTGATCAGAATAGCACTTAAAAAAAAAAAAGCAGCTCAGATTCTACCAAAATCCCTGTATGGGTTTTTGGAGAGGGGTGGGGTAAAGACCCATGAAGCTATTTCAGAATAGGGTGACACTTTCTCATCATCCAAAGAAAATAAAAAACAGGACAGTCCTGCCAATAGAGGATGCTTTCAAATAAAGTACTGTTCTTTGACAGCTCTTAAAATAGAGGATTATCCCTAGTAAACTAGGTCAGCAGGCTACTCTACCTGACATACATAATGCTGTCAGCATTGCAGACTCCTAAAGAAAACTCCTATCAGCCCTTCTGAGTATCTCCAGAGAGGCTGGGGAGATTAGACAGTTCAAAGATCTCTGCTTGAATTTATTTATTTATTTATTTTTATTTTATATCCCACCTATTTGGTCGGATCAAATTTGAATTTGAATTGTTGTGCTATTTTAAAATAGATGTGAAGAATTCACTCTATACATTTCTTATAAATATATGTATATAGCTATAAACCAAGGAAATAAATAAAGAAGCTAGTGGGTTCTAATTATTAATAAGCTACCATTTGGGGCAAAGTCATGTTTTGGACTATAAATGCCAGAGTCTGGGAGCAATAGTAAAAAAAAACCCCACAAAGAAAGAGTTTTTTTAAAAAAAATGTTGCAAAAAGCCAAGGTCCGATGGCTGGTGGTTCTATCACAGGGTCAGTGACATCACAAAAGTTTTGTTCTCAAACTGATGAAAGCAGGTGTCATTTACTAACTTTTTGTCTTTTACTGTCAAATGTTTGTTGGATTTGTTCTTATTTGAATTTTTTTTCCCACAGATCTGAAAACCCAGTTTCTATCAAATCTACCTATTTGCTCTGCTTCTTGTGATCATCATATGTGTTCCCCAAATAGCAATGAATTGGAACTGATAATAGAATTTAGATTTTTACATCTTTTAGGGAGTCCACGTTAACAGGGAGGAATCCAGGAACCAATCTACGTATGTAACACAGTGGCCAAAATCCTCTTACTTAAAGTAGCAAGTTGCAACTAAAGTAGGCCCATTGATTCAGTGGTGATTTGGTCAAGTGACTCCTGTGTAGGTTCCAGTGATTCAATGGACCTACTTTAACTCAAGCCACAGGATTCCAGCCAATATTTTGTTTTCTGTTGAAATGAATTTCAATTGATTTTCCTTCATTCTCTCTCCCTTCTGAGACTTACACTGGTCTGTTTTGACTTCTAATAATTGTAGCTGTCTAGAGGATTTGTGGAATGTGGTGATCCAGTTGTTACAGTGATCAGGAGAATGACAGTGTATTGTGCCTGACTCCATGATCTCTGACAGAGAGCTGAGCAGGATGTGAACAAATGCTCAGGGACTGAGGTGACTAAATCCCAGGGCTACGTCACCAGAGGGAAGGAATGTAAATGACAGATAGGTAAGGAGTGAGACAGGAAGAGGTTATATTCAAACAGAAGAGATGAGAAAAATTTATTTTTGGATTATGACTTCCAGGATATCTCATTAAGAATCTTCCCTGGCTATGCTAGCTGAGGTATTGTGGGAATTGTAGTAAAGAAAAAGAAGTGTTCTTATCTCTGATAATAGAAATCATTGATTTGGGAGGGTGGACAAGTAAAGAAAAGCTGGACATGGACTTAATGACCTACAGCAGGGCAAGGGATGTTATGAGCCCTAGGTAATTTAGACTAATAATTTCCACAGTCTTTCATTGCTGGTCATGTTGTGTAGGGTGAAACAATGGTGTGCCTGGTCTCTGTGTGTGAAATATTGCTACACCTTGGCCTACAGAATGATCTTTTCCTCCAAAAAGGTGAGAACCACATAGAAAGAAAAGGCTAGGCTGACGTGTAATCTGGAATAAAAAAATGAATCATGACCTAAGAAGGACTGGGGCTCATTTTGGATTGTGGCGCTGTTTACTCACAGCAAAATATCCTTCAGATTCCAATTAGGCCATAATGATCCTCTAACCATGTAAACCCCAAACACTGAATCAGGACAGGTGATTCGATGAAGGCATAGAACAGCATGACTCAGACATAATAGGTTATCTATCATGGAATACTAGAGGCTTTAGAAGGAGGGTAAAGGTACTTGACACTAAAGCAGCTAAAGAGTCTTCCAAAAAGGAAAAATGTTCCCTCAGCACTGAGTGCAACCAAAACCAAATATTTATTTTAAATATGTAAGGGCTGGCTTTAAAATTTAAAATTATGAACAGTTTTAAAAATGAAAGGCCTAAAATGGCAATGCATATATACCTATATATATCTGTGGTTTAATAGTATCCGTATTCCCACAGGTAGGTTCTGTATCCTTTTTTACTACCACTTTCTCCCATCTCTCAGAGATACTGTTACAGTATCTTAGCAGTCAGATGGTAAACACATCCCCAAGCTGCTATTTTAAAAAATCTGTAACGTTTATTGCTATTGTTCTCCATTTGATATTACCTGAGCTAAGAAACCCTAAGTGCTCACTGGAAGGACAGATCCTGAAGCTGAGGATCCAATACTTTGGCCATCTGATGAGAAGAGAAGACTCCCTGGAAAAGACCCTGATGTTGGGAAAGTGTGAAAGCAAGAGGAGAAGGGGACGACAGAGGACAAGATGGTTGGACAGTGTCATAGAAGCTGCCAACATGAATTTGACCCATCTCTGGTCCATGGGGTCACAAAGAGTCGGACACAACTTAACGAATAAACAACAACAAATATACAGGATTCAGCTAAGATGGGTATTTCCTCAAGAATCAGAGGCAGAGAGCAAATTAAGGATCAAACCTGAGCAAATGGAAGCCTGAATATTGTAGCTCTTCCTGCTGGGTCAGAGCAATGATGAACCTTCATTGGAATAGTCCCTCCAGAAATTGAGAATCTTTGCCTGTTTTGTATCCATGGCAGTTCATCACCTAGGGAAGCTGTATTTAAAAGAACAATTTCTCATTTAATTATTTGGTAATGATCACAGTGTCTTCCATCAATAAACTGTTGCAGCCTTCGGGCTGTAACTTGTCACTATATTGCATTTTTGTTAAACATGAGCAACAGTAATAGAAGAAAAACGAGGGACTAATGATAGCTCAGTGATAGGTCAGCGGTAGAGGTATGTGGGAGTTCGATTCCCCACTGTGCCATCTTGAAAGGGGCTGGACTCAATGATCCATAGGGTCCCTTCCAGCTCTGCAGTTCTAGGATGATTGTTAATATTTGTTTACTCTCATTAATGAATTTTATTTGGTCATCTTTGTCAGTCATGTGTCTCATTTTTATACCTCTTATGTTTATTTGCATGAGGAGCCCCCTGTTGGAAACAGACGGACCTGGACTTAACTTGGGTCCCGCATTGTAGCCAGGGCAGTGGCCCAGCCTCCCACACCCCTCAGCAGCTCTGTAATGACGGCTGTCACAGGGCAGGCTGCGAGAGAGCCTGGGAGCATGATGCAAAGGTGAGAGGTCACACCAGCAGTCAGGATTGGCTGGTGTGCCTGCGGGGGGCAAGGCCTGCTGGAGCCCTTGCCCAGATAAAGGAGTGCTCTGGGCTGGGGGTTCTAGTAGGTCTCTGCAGCATTCCACCTCCTCACCCATCCTGTGTTTGGTATAGTTTAGGAAATGTTGAGGTTTAATAATGGTTTGTGTTAGATCATTTACGTGTTATTTCAACTCTCATTTTATATTCATGTCACAGCTTTGTTAGCAGTCTGGGCACATTGGATATGGATCTGGTAGAAGATAGAGAGCAGGCAGAGTCCTGCCCAACACAATCATAGGACCCCCTCTTTTTGGGGGGCAGGAGCAAGGGCCAGGGCTGCCCCAGCTGGGGGGGACAAAGGCCCTGTTATATGCCTGGTCTCCAAGAATCTGCCACCCCAGGTCATTGTCCAGAAGGGTCTGGGAAGTGGTCGGCTACATCAGTGATGGCACTCAGGCCTCCCAATGGAACTGGATCTGACCACGATGCTTAACCAGGTGAACTGCAGTTGTAATTCAGCTAATAAAGTTGTGGCCTTTTTTACTTCCAGTTTGACATGTGCGGTGTGTTTATTGTTTAAGGCTGGGATCTGGGCCTGCTTAGCCTTAGGCAAATAATATATTGCACTATTATAGCTCCTGTGTGATAATGCACTATATTGATCAGTTCTTTTATCATTTTTTTATCATAGGTTTCTGCTGATCTTTGCCAGTTAACTCCCCTTTATTGTTCTCGGTTTTTTAAAAAAATGTCTTATTTAGAGCATAATTTTATTCATAAAATTTTAAATGATTATTAATAATCCCAATTTAATATAATATGAAAAATTCAAAAATAATGTACAAGATGAATGATGAGTAAAACATACAGTATACATAAAAAATCTTATCTGAATACTAGGTACTTGTTGCTCACCAAGAGCTACAACTGAGAAAGCTCAGGCCCACACTTTCAGCTGTATTCTCTTTGCATGTATAGATGATACTTTGAGCCAGCTTCTCCTGGCTGACCTTAAAGGGCAGCTGGGTTCACACTGGAGAAGGAACACTAACTGCATTATGGGTTGTAGTTTCCTAGGAAACAGGTGAGTAGCAAAGGTTATTTCCAGACATTCTGAGTTCTGCTGCTGAGCTAGAAGCCAAAAGGCAGGGAAAAGCAGAACGGGGTCATCTCCACTTTTATACTTATTACTTCATTGGCATTGTGGTGTTCAGAGGACATTATTGTCTCTCTCCCAGCCATGAAACCTACATGGTGATTGCTTTCCTTTGAACTCTCTCAACTGTTATTTTCCATCAGAGATGTTATTCAAACATTTGATCAGCAGGCTGGCCTGGCTGTGAACTGTGCTCCTGAATGCTCAAGATTCTGGGAACATTTAACTCTCTTCCCAGCAGGCTTCTTGAATAACAGGAGGAACTAGCAGTGCTACAGAAAGTTGTTTTTCAAGGAGACGCAGCAAATTGTAGTTTGATGAGGGCAATTCTGGGTGGGTTTGTAAGTACAGTACTGCTGCTGTTACCGCTATTGCTGTTGGCAAGTTAGCAATCTTGATGAGAGGAGGGGCCTCCATCACAGACTAACTTGTTTATTTGTTTGTTTGCATGCTAACTAATCCGAGGGGCTTGTTTTTTCCCCTGGGCTATTGACACTCCACCCTTGTTCATCCCTTCTCCTTCACACGTGTTTCAGAGGCTCCATTTTGTCTCATACACTTTTTCATCTTTTAAGATGCTGCGTCTCCAGGCTGGATCTCTGCACCCTAGAGATCCTCCTAGCCACATGGGCTGAGGAAACAAACCTTATTTTTACTATTTTTCCTTCTGTCAACTTTAACCCTAATGTGTGCCTGTTTAAGAAATGGACGTTTAAGTGAGTAAAGTACAGTATACAAAATCCTTTATACTTAAATATCGCCTCCTGGGCCTTATTTCCTAAAGTGCTAGGCTTTGGTGAGGGTGGATACAGTGGACCTTCAACTTACAAACGGCCCGACTTACAGACTTTTCGAGTTACAGACTTCTCTGGCCGCAAAATTTAGGTTCGACTTGCAGCCGGAGTCGACCTACAGACCAGGAAAAAAAAAAAACCCAAAATGGAACAAAATGGAACAAAAACGGCTGGGTATGGGATTAATTGGTTTTCAATGCATTGTAGGTCAATGGAGACTCGACCTACAGACTTTTCGACCTGCAGCCACCGTTCCAATACAGATTAATCCCGTAAGTAGAGGGTCCACTGTACCAATAACAACTGGGCAAAAGGGGACTTCTACAGCCAATTCTATCCTTAAGGAGCTAGCCTTTCGCTGTACATTTCACTGGAACTTAAGCAAGTTCCCAGACCTATCAACAACTGTTCCTGCTACTGTGACTGCTGCTGCTGTTGCTACTATTATTATTTACACTTAATTCAAACCCTTCCTCCCAGGAACATAGCCCTCCTCCTCTGCACAATTCTGTAAGGCTGAAGGAATGGGCCTGGGCCAAAGATAGGTTTCATGGATCAGTGAAAACTAGAACTGGGTCTCCTTAATTTCCAGATGAACCCTCTACCCATTATGCTACACTCTCTTCTCAGCTGCAGTTGCACTCTTGATCAAATCACTGAGACACGTAGAGCTAGAAAGGGTATGTGAAAAACTAGCTGAAAGAGACATCAAGCTGCAGTATCAAATAAGAAATTTGGTCCACTTGTCTATCCATTGCTTTCAAGAAGAAGCTAGTGAGTCTAGCAGAAACAAATGCAGCCTGCTTGTCATGTAATGTGGTAAGAAAGGGCAATGACTCACATTGAACTGAGTGCTCTTCTGTCTGTCAATATACTGTACCTGGTGGCAGTCTTCCTTGGGTACTGTTGTGAAGGTGATATTGGGTGGTTGAATTGACACAGTTATGCTTTTAGAAATGTAACACAGGTTTAAGGATGTAAGGGTTCGCTGGTTGGTCCTGGCTTCCCCTGTCTTTCAGGGTCAATTTCCACAGACATGTCCTTTGCATCCAAACCATCAACATTTATTTCTGGAGCATCCAAAAAACTGACAACATTTACTTTAACGTCCAACGACTCCTCAGTACCCAATGAAATACTGAAGGGATAATTATCTTGAAGCACAACCGGAATGTAAATATTTGTCCGTCCCCTTCTCCCTTCTTCCTCAACAAGGGCTCAGGGAATAATGACACAGACTTTTCGACCTGCAGCCACCGTTCCAATACAGATTAATCCTTACATTTCTTGTCTAACCATTGGGCAGGGTTGAATGGTCCCGTCAGTCCCTCTCTTGATACTGGGATCTCCCAGGGTTCAGGGTTGAGGGCTTCTCCTTCCTATATACCTGTATCCATCTTGCTTGTTCTCTCTTTTCCCTTTCTATTCTAGCTCTCTCTTCTCATATCTTACATCCCTACTCCCTGGCTTCTTTCTCTCCCCAGTAAGAAGGTTTGACCACTGTCATCCCCTTTCGTCTCCTTTCTTCCTCTTCATGGGGACCATGAGCCTTTCCCACTTACTCACCCAGGGGTTTTCCATCCTTATCCATTCCCATCTAGGGTTAATATCTTTCCTTTCCTTTTAGTCTCCACTTCTCTCGCCTCTCCTTTTCTCTCACCCCTTTTATCCTCCTCCTCCTTTCCCTCCACCAATCACCTCTCCCCTTACTCCTCCCTGTCCTAAGTGTTTTGTCATTTTAATTACATCCCCTTCCTCTGTCTGAGAACCTTCTTCTTCCCTCACCACCTCTAGCTTCTCTCCTTTTTCTTTCCAGGTCATCCTTCCCATCCTATGTTTTTCCTTCTAGGGTTCTGTCTTCCCTTGTAAGTGGGATGGGCAGTGCTTAGGCAGGTAGGGTCTCACTCCCACTGCCATCCTCACAAATGATACCACCAGAACATGAAATCAATCAGTTTGTAAGTTGAATCTAGTAGTTTTGTAATTCATTAATGTATCATGAGTTGTATTATGTATCAGACTTGTACTTGATTTGGGTGAAGACCAAAGCTTGAAGCAAATTGCGCCCCTTCAGTCCGGTTATGCTGAAGTTAAATTCCCTCTAAAACTAATAGGGAAAAAGAAGAAGCTGAAACTCAGACAAACTTTTGGATATAGAAAGGCAGGTAAAACAACAGGGAAAATGTGTAATTTACTCTTTGTTTCTATGACAACACCCAGAGAAGGGGAGTTGAATGACAGTTATACTCCCTCCCCTTCTAATGCTTAGGCACATTTTACCATGGAACAGGCAATCATTATGTTTTGGGGAGAAACTGTAACTTTGGTAAACACACAAATTTGAGCTTTTCCCCTCTTTATTGGGTAGAGAAAGACATGGTAGCAAGGTAGAAACCAGCAGGATAGTAATATTTGTTACAAAAACACCCATCACATGACTGATATTGCTGTGCAGAGGTACAGAGGGAGTATGACAGGTGGAAAGGTAAGTAGAAATGAATGGAGTGGGACAAGGTACTGTAGATTCTATTCCTTAAATGTTACCAGACTTCACTGTAAGTATTGCCTGGGACATTTTGCCTTTTTCATTGTAGCAGCTGAACAACAGAAGTCTTAAATATCAGTGTATTATTGCACATGCAGTTTTATCTACACACCACACTGTAATTCAGTATCATAATGGAAATCCACAGAGGATCATTACAATGGCTGCAGAAAATGTGTTTAAATTTTTTAACAGGTCATAAAAAGACTTGTGAATGGAATGATTCAAAGTGACCATTGCATAAACCAACCACACATTGCTGTCCAGCCCTAGCCCCTACTCCTGCCCCTTCCGCTGCTCCAGCTCCTACCCTAACCTTAACCCTCACCTTACCTACAGCCATGATCTTACATTTCTTGTCTAGCCTCATGAAGTGGGACTTGAAATGCAGTCATTAGAAACTAGCAACGAAGTGAAGGCTGTAGTGAAATGGGTAAAAGACAGAGATCTGGAGTTCTTCGCTGATGGGATAAAGAAACTGGTTGTATGTTGGAGAACTATGTTGTAGGGAATGGAGGAGGAGGATACTGAAAATAAGATGCCACCTGAAAGAGGAAGTTTAGAAGTTTCTTTACTTTTACCCCAAAAAATCACATTATAAGTCAACAGGCCAAACTTTTAGCCAACCCCCAAATTTTAAAGGCCTTTAGCTGGATTTCAAGCATCATAACACCATAGCTTATGTTCCTATTTTATGAAACTTTGTAGACTTATTACTTGGTCTGAAGTCTACATTTTTATTCTCTGATGTCGAACATTATCTGAAGCACTGAGATGGAGCTGAAAGAGAATCTTGAGGCTGGTATACATCTCTAACAATAAGCCTTGGCTGATTCAACAAGTTTTAATATTTGTATGATTCAAGCTGAAATCGATTATGAGTCAAACTATGTTTTCTGTGCCTGCCTGGTTTCCATTTTCTCCTCTCTCTTTTTTTTTTTTTGAAAACATCAGCAGCATGGCACGTATTACTAGAACATGAAATGGCACATTTTGGTTGCTTGTTCTTCTTCTCATTGCCACTGCATCTACTTGTGGCTAGATGGCAATCTGTTACTGTAAACAAATCACATCTTACAACAGCCAAACAGAGAATGAATACATGATGTAGCACAACATTGTCATGTATAGGGCAAAAAAGAACATCATGCTGCACCTAAGCAAGGTGGTTGAGAGGGTGGTGGCCGACCAGCTTCAGGCGCACCTGGATGAAACAGATGCCCTGGATCCATTTCAGTCGGGCTTCAGGCCGCGCCATGGTACAGAAACAGCATTGGTCGCCCTGTGCGATGACCTATTGAGGGAGGCTGACAGGGGAAAAGTGTCCCTGCTGGTCCTCCTCGATATCTCAGCGGCCTTTGATACCATTGACCACGGTATCCTCCTGGGGAGGCTCTCTGAGTTGGGAATTGGTGGCCTGGCACTGGCCTGGCTCCGTTCCTTCTTGGAGGACCGCCCCCAGAGAGTACAGCTTGGGGAGAGTGTCTCGGCCCCATGGAGCCTCAATTGTGGATTTCCACAGGGG